TTGTTTTAAAAAGAAAATATGTTTTTATTTTCTCTTACTAATTTAATTTTCTTTTGGTTTTTATATTTTATTGTTTTAATAAGAACATATATGTTTTGAAAAGAACGTTTTGTTGTTTCATTTAATTTTTAGGAAATCATTTATTAAAAAAAAAAAGTTTTACTTTTTATTCACTTTTCGTTTGATTTTTAAATTTTATTATTTTAAAATGAAAAATATTTTTTAAGTGTTTTTCTGAAAATTTTTTATTTTTTTTATTAAACTTATTTAATTTTTGGGAACTCATTTTATTTTTAATTTTATTATTTATTTTAATTTTTATTACTATTCATATTTTATTGTTTTAAAAAGATTTTTTTTAATTTGGTGTATTTTACTTTATCTAATTTTTTTTAAGAGAAAAATATATTTTGAATTTCATTTATTTTGTTTAATTGTCTTATCTTTTTCTAATTTAATTTTCTTTTGACTTTTAGACATTATTGTTAAAAAAGAATAATAATCCTAAGTAACTTATTTTATTTGTTTTTGTTTATGGCCTTTTTACAATTATATTCAACAGTTTTCTACCTTAGATTGTTGTTTTTCCATATAATGTTTCATTAAAAAAACGGTATCAAGCTCAATAAAGTTGTTGAATGGATCTTATTTTATTTATTTTTGCTTTTTTAATTTATTTTAATTTTTGTTTTTATTGGTTTAAAAAGAAAAAACCTATTTTTTTATTAAATTTAATTTTAGGCAAACTTATTACTCAAAGACAAACAGAATAACGCCAAAACCTACTCGCTAGCACATTTTTCCACGAAATACTCAGGGGAGGTGAAAGACAATTGCCCTGTAAGTCTGGCTCGACTAAAATACATTGCACGGAAGAGTCTTTTCAAAGCTTTCTGTATATTTCATATGAGCGCGCAAAGGGAGAAGCTCTATCTGCTCATTTCTAATCTAAGTCAGTATCGACAAAAGCATATTCCCAGATATTTAAAGCTTTCTGTAGATTTTATACGGGCCAGCACTTAGCTTAGATACGAAAGAACAGAGAGAGCATTAGTCCTATTCGAACCCAAATAAAATTTACAAAGAGCTATAAAAACGATGCCGCACAAAATATATTTTTTTTTTGCATTGTCAAAATGCATTTAAAAGCATCTGTCATCTACTTATTCGTAAACCTTAATCAAACACTCCAGTGTATAAACATAAATACATATAAAATAAAAATCAAACCTTTGCCTAGCTAAGTTGTGGGTACTTACGTTTAGGATATAATGGCGGTCGATATCGGCCACTGCCACCGCTACTGCTGCCAATGTTTACACCCGTATTGCCATTGCAATTGTTGTTGGTGTTGCTATTAAAATTATGACTGCCAACACTGCCGCCACTGCCACCACTGCTGCTGCAGCTGATGTTACTATTGTTGCTATTTATGCTGTTGATAATGTTGGCGATGTTGTTGTTGCCATTAGTCAATGTGGCATTGGCACTATTATTGCCCCTATCTGAACCACCGCCACTACCAGCACTGCCAACGCTGTTGCTGTGATGACTACTCAAGTTGAAATTGCTGCTCCTCTCCAGCTGCTGCTGCTGCTGCTGTTGTTGCGATTGTGAACGGTGCAATACCGACTCACCGATTGTGCTGCTGCTGCTGCCGCCAGTCGACGATGACGATGCCAAGGCACCGCCACCGAAGAGGCGTCGTTGTTGTAGGAAAGCCGTTTTGTCACTGTCGTGGGGGGGGGCGATGTATGAGGAGAAGTGGCGCTGTTGTTGTTGCTGTTGCAGGCGGGTGAGGTACACCTCAGATTTATGTTTAATCGTTTGATTTTTTTCTGGAATTTTTTGTTTATTTATTATTTGTTTGATTTAGCGCGAATTTGCTATACCGTGTTGTTGTTATTGTTGTTCGCGAATTGTTTGCACTTTTTTATTTGCTCAATATCACATTTATGTTTATTTTATTCGTATTTTCTTGAGATTTTATATTTTTTGTTTTATTTTTTTATGTAATGACTGCAATTAAATATTTACGCTGCTGTTGTACTTACTAGCTGTTTTATTATTTGTATTTGTATTTTTTTTACTTCACTATACATACATATGTAGTACTATGTACATGTATGTATTTTGTGTACTTTGCGTATCGCTTAACTCTACAGCTCATTAAATTTCCAACAGCAGCAGCATTTAATTCCCATTTGTTCGCGGATCTGTTTACCAATTCCGATTACTTTGTATGTTTTGCCTAGTTTTTTTTGGTAAGTTTTTGTGTGAGTGGTGGTATTGTATTTCGCAATTTGTTGTATTTGGCATTAAACTTTAAGATTATCTACACAAGCTATGCAGTTTATTTTTTGTTAATTTAACCATACTCACAAACCGATTATTTGCATTTTACCGAAATTGGAATTATTAAAAAAATAGCTAACAAACTCATTGATATTCCACTCTTACTTTCAAATGTCGTACCAGTTCCTCAAAAAAAAAAAACGCCAAAAAAATTTGTTTCTTGCTCATTCCCATGTCGTTGTCTTTTTGAAAAAAAAACAACAGGGTAGATCAATTCAGTCTAGGTAACAATAATGAAGCTCTAGCGCTGCATCCTATATAGATCTGTTAAGCTAATATTTTATAAATCTGTACAACCTTAGACTATTTATATAATTGAAGTGGTTAGAATCATAAGGGTGTAAGTGACATTTTTTGAAAATATAAGTTATACCCATATTTTTATAGTTAAATATAATGTTTATTTGGTGACAAAGAGATCGAAGTCATTTCAAGTCATGCAGATGTGTTTAAGCCCTTACATCCAACTCCACCGAAGATTCCGTACTTAAAATGGGGAAATTTAACTCAAATTCTACCATTTATTCCACCTATTCATGAAGGATTTTTATATAAATATTCCCCATGGGATAAAAGCAAACAACAATAGTTCTAAGAAGCAAAGTCAAAAGACGATTATAGTTCAAGTAGAAAATACAGAATCAGATGAAGCCCACGGCAGCGTTTTGTCAGATTACGATGGTTAGATATATTTTAGTAGAGTTAATGTTGTATATTATAACTTTTTTACATAATAAAATGTAGATTTTCATAAAAATAAGCTTTTTCATTTATTTCCTTACAGAAATTCACCCAAGTAGGTACTCAGAAGTAAAAGGATCCAAGTGACTCAAAAATATATTTCAGTTTTTTTCCATCTGCAGTAAGCATTCTTTGAATTAGTTAATTAACCTGCATTCATTTAGGCAAGAATCAGTTCAAATGCATTTACCCAGAATTTACAATAAGTAATCAACTTTAACTTTAATTATCTCAAAACAACGTCAGACTTACTTAGATACTTTTGATTCTAACCACTTCAATTAAAAGGTATTTGACTCCTAATTCGTGAGAAATCTCACAAATAACACACATACATATACATATCGTCACTGGACACGAATAAAGGCGCGCCATTGTTTTGACGCCGAAAAAGGACGCGTAAAAAAACTCCAGCGAAAGAGGCGCCTAAACTTAGTCGACGGCGAAGAAAGACGCGTAAACTTATCTTAGCGGTCAACTGAGTTTGCGGTTGTAGTAGTTTGTACATTCACAAAAGAGTGTTTGGGGGAATAATGCTGAAGTGACAGTCCTTGGCTAGATATAAATCTATATTTACGCGTCTTTCTTCGCCGTCAAGTAGGGTTACGCGTCTTTTTTTCGCCGAGTTTTACGCGTCCTTTTTCGCCGTCAAAACAATGGCGCCCATTTACCTCTCGTTACCTGTAGTCCATCCCTAAGGAAAATTTCATATTGTCAAGATATTTTCTAAACATCTCAGAGCTTCCTGTCGAAGATTTAGATGTTGTTCTTGTAGCGGATTACTAAGAACATTCGTTGTTGCTGACTTAGGTTTGGTGTTGCTGAAATGGGGCCTCAGAACTTTTGTTGCTCCCCATATTTCAAAAATTTTTAGCTGTCTATTTTCGAACTGATAGCATGACTATTTTATTTTCCGTAATGGGATCTCAGTAATTCAAAGCTCCAACTTTTGCTAACGCGCATTTAAATGTACGTTAAAAACCTCGTTAAGATTTAAGCAAAAGGAAAAGCCTAATCAGTCGATAAATTACATATACCTTATTTAAAAAAAAGGTTAAATTGAAGAAAACCCCCTCATTAAACTTTTACCATCACTTTGTCTAAACAAAAACTAGTCTTAATACTTTTCTAAGTGCCACTTGATTAATTCGACTTAAAGTTTTTCGTTTAACTCGTATTCTAACTCTTCTATGTACATAAATACATTCATACAGACCTATACAAGTATATTTAGTTTTGGTTTAAGCCCATTTTAGGCTGCAACTGCATTCAGTCATACTACATTTTGGTCTGTTCAACTGCATAATCAATTGAAAACCAGAGTGGTGTAAATTGCATGCGGAATTTAAAGAATTTATACAATGATTTGCTGTTCGTGTTCTTTCTCAAAAAGTTTAAAATTGCGAAATCTTATTAACGAACCTATTTGGTAATTCACTTTAAAGGTTTCAACAACTTTCGAATGCATCAAAAGCTGGACATAAACGTGTTAAGTTGTCTACAATAAATGTGCAAGCTAAGCAACCACACAAATCTAGGATTAATCTAATTTGGAAACTAAAGTTTAGTTGTGAAATAAAGGTGTATGCCCTGTAAGAAATTGTGTTGGTTCCAAATTATGTTGCCGCTATAACCGCATAAACGATTTTTGCCGACTCTAACAAAGAACGCTAGTCGGGGCTATTCTGTGGCAATTAACAGCAATTGGAACTGCCAAGCGAAGCCAAGTCTTTCTCCACCTTGAGAAAATTAATTTGGAAAATTATGAAAAATTTTTAATAGCTATATTTTAACATTTCTTATAAAATTTACATTAAAAAAACTCTCTTTTTTGACTATATTTAGTCTCCTTTCGTCAACTTAAGTAAAATGGCAAAATAAACTATTGGGTATTCTTATTGGAAGTCTCCTGAAGAGAGTTTTCAGATCAAAAAATATTTTTTTTTACCCATATAAAATATATAGAGAACTGTGAGCGACCCCTAAATATTTTTTTATTTCAAAATAAAAAGAACAGTGGTATATATTTTTCGGCAGAGAACAACCCTAAGGATGAACGCATTAAAATTCGGACTTTACTCTTTTCACGTGCAATATTGGCCCACCCTAATGTGCATACGTACCTATGCATAACTTAGCTCAAATACTACCCAATGGTTTTCAATCAATTTTTCGAAGGTTGTTCCTCAGGCATCCGATCTCAACATAGGCTGCCAAATAACTCGCTAGGTGGCGCTTAGGTCGAGTTATTTTTAAAATCCAATTTGCTATATTTTTTGTGTAATAAGAAACACTTTGGCAAGAAATTGAGCCGCTAGGTGGCACACGGTGTTCTATTTAGGGAAAAAGTAGACAGAATCAAATATCTAGAGAACGAGAAGGGATAGCGAGATATTCCATATGATATTACAGCGCTATTATTCTTGGCCTATGTGTGAGGAGGGCTCTGCTATTCAGTTGTTTTTGCTTTTTAGCACTACTTTTCCAGCGGCCTACGCTAAAGCTATTATCAGGCGACACTATGTTAGTTGCAGCTTTTTAAGATAATTTTTATTGGAAAATGCAACTAACTTTAGAATGGCCTTTATTTCGACAATGCATAAGCGTCAGTTTTTCTCAAAGAAGCTCTTAGTAAGGGGCTTTAGAAACCTGCACGTTGTTGCATATGTTATGACCGCTACTCTATGTATTTATGTGCATATATATGTATGTATGTATGTATATATCCTTATCTGACACGTCTCTTCATCTAATAAAATAACGAAAAATAATAAAGCCCACTCGTAAAAGTTAAATTTGAGAACGTATATATGTACATAACTTGTATGTACAACCACTTTATTGTTCAAGCAGGGCGTAACCTACTTTTGAAGAGCTTCGATAAGTGAACAGTATGGTAGGTGGTCACATACATATGTTTCAAGAAACCCAATACTAAAACAAAAGGTTTTATTTTTTTTTTTTCAAATTTTAAATTTTTAAAAGCCTACTTTTCATTATTCTTTTGTATGTATTTTGTATTTTGCATAATGATATTTATGTATGTCCATTTGTGCGTAATTTATATGTTTGTACATTAGAGTGCATTACTCTCCATACCAAAAAAAAAAAAACGGTACTGTTAATCCAATAGAACTGTAAAGTCTGTTTAAGTTTGGGACTTCCGCCAAAATAATTCAGAAAATATTGCAATTTTCATGGCCTGTACAAAAAACGAGTT